TGTCAATGACCTCCTCAATGTCTCCTTTGCGTGCTCACACACACACACACACACACACACACACACACACACACACACACACACACACACACACACACACACACACACGCGCGCGCGCGCGCGCTTTCTCTCCGTTGGACGTTTTAATCAGTTTTAAGGGAAATAATTGCTCAGGTAGACGTCTAAATATGGAGGTGTTTCAATTACGCGCCGTGTCTGGCTTGCGGCCAAATTATGCCTCAAAGAGACTAATCAAACCCGTATTAACCCAGCGTTGTATCATTGTGTGTATTGCGCGCATTCGAGTGTGGGCTTGAAATGACAACAGATCAGGATGTCTCTTGGGGCGTCTTGCAGATGCGCTGCGCCACATCTTAAAGCAGGTCAGGCTAAAGTAGGATCCTGCAGTACGGACTTCACACACCTTCACAAAGTCCTTTGAGGTCCACGTGAAGTTCATTTTTATTTAACTCTGGAAGGGCTTTTGTATGCTCCTTTCCAGCACCCACTGCTGTTTCGCTAGCAAATGGTAGCATATATATATTTTTTTGATTTTTATTTTTATCTGAATGGCTCGAAGGGTATTGTTCGTATTACTGTGGTGCTTTGAAGTTTGACCACAATGCATTCAAAAATTGGATCGGTCAACTCAAACTAAATTACTGGTCACACCAGTACGATAAAACCTTCAAACCTATCGTACATTTTGTGTCACGTCACGTATGATGATAGCAGGAGCCGCAAAAGTTGTTAAAAATTTGAACTGAATTGCATAACTTTCAGGATACCGCTACATAAAGTAGATTTATCACATATCAGTTATCTCATATCAAGTGTGAACGGGTTCGACATCAATATTCTTGGAATCACAGATGTTTCAAGCCTAAGCAAAGTCATTGGAAAGAAGTAGAATGACATTGAAGAAGAGCGTTTCTTTGGAATATATTGATCTTCCATTTTTGTCTCAATACATGACAACTATTCTCTGGCTTTCTGCATGAGACAGTAGCAGACATACAAGCAGCCTTCATGTGTCGCTCTTCTTTCATCGCTGATTGAATCCTCCGACAACAAAAGGTGTCTGGCCCGAATATGTCATTGTTTTCCGGAAAGCTACGCAGCCTGTCTAATTAAATATGGTCGTAGGTGTATGCAAAATATATGTTGAGTGAGTTTCATCAATCAACTGCCCTTTGCTCGTGACAGTACACACAGTGAAGCGCCTGTCTAGTCATGTCGTGCATTAATAATCTTAATAGGGCACCATTGCTGTTTTTAAACAACAGCGGCTGACAACTGTGGGCGACCATGCATGGCGCAGTTTTATGACTATAATCGTAAAATCAAACCTCAGTCTCATTTTCGGTACCACTGCAGTCTGGTTGCAAATGATGACTTGCAGGTTGATGAGTCTCTCAAGGTTGCTTTTTAAGTGGGAGGCAAAGCAGCTTCAGGTCTCATTTCAACTCAGACACGCATAAATTTTGCCACTGGGCAAATCAAACCTTCCTTTCGTTTTTTTTTTTTTTTTTCCTCCATCCCCAGCGTCCACTTTACCATCACCTCCTCCTCTTCATTTCTTCCTGCCTGCTTTCAGACACTGCGAATGGGACCCCAAATTGACATGAGCTCCAAGACAAACTAAAGCATTTCAGTCACATAAATTCCCCCTTCTGTTTACCTTTGAGGTCGAAATTTCCTGCAATGTAGCATTATTCACCAACATTGATGAAGACGCCAAGACGATTGGCCTGCCATCATTGTTTGTTGATTTCTTGTTGAGCTATTGTTCAATTTTCACTCAATGCCAAAAATCTCACCCTGTCATCTCTTGGCATGGAGTTCATCTGTTTTCTACCCACTATGGCATTCAGGCTCACACAGCTCACTGAGTGAGACACAGGGCACGCCCTGGACTGATTTCCCGTCAACCACATTCACATCAATGGCACAATTGGCAATTTTGAGTTTTCAGTTACCCTCACCTCTGTGTTTTTTTGACTGTGGGTGGAAGCCGGGATGCCCAGGGAGAACCCACACAACCACGTGATGAACATAGAGTGCATTCTATCTATCATAGAAAGGTCTGAGCTAGCAAAGGCACATAAGTAGGACAAGTTAAGCTCAAAACAGTTCCAGTGATTGACACTGTAACTTTGCTAATGAACATCCGTCTGTTAACTTTTGACAAGACCCAAGGATCTGTGGTATTTGTGGATGTTGCAGTCTTGATGTCTTCATCAAAATGTGAACTTTGGAACCAATTTTGCTGAAATTGGTTGGCAGCCGAAGCAGCACGGTGAATAAGTGGCTGTAGTCTAAATCTGATCCCAGAGGTCAGATGTTTGCGGTTTGAATCTCATTCTTCCTTGTGCGGACTCTACATGTTCCCCACATACTTGTGTGAGTTCCCTCATTCCACAGACATGCTTTTTAAATTTATGTCGACTGAATTATGTGACTGTGAATTATCCATTGGTGTGCTGTATATTCGATTTCCTATTGTGGGGTTGGGGGTGGGGGGGGGGCCTTCATGTGTCATTCAAATGACTAGCGACTAGTCCAGAATATAGCCAGCCCCACCCTGAAGTCACCTGAGATCATGTTTTCATCACCGATGCAGAGGAAAAAATGATTTAATTGATGGCCCTTTTCTTTCATGATGAAACAAAACAGTGAGGTGCAAAACAGGGCTGATGACCAAGTCATGATGTAACCTGTTTTTGACGAGTTTTTGTTGTCGAGTTGTTCTAGACTTGTGAGTGCACTGGAGTGAGTACCCATTAGCGTAGTTCTGTTAACATCATATTTTTCTGTTACTAGAATTAGATGACACACGTGTGAATGGAGTGCTGCTAATTTTAGTAGCGATTGTGTGTTTGCTTGAGCAAAGGCCGATCTCAAGTGGTGAAGTTAATGTATTTTACTGTTTTGTTTACGATTGATGTTTGTATTAGTGCATTGCATTGCCAAGGTGTTGAAAGATCATAGCCAAAGCCCCATTTACTTGTCATTTTTCATTTCCACCCACACCTATGGTCATCATTTCTCGGTAGTGACTGAAAGAACGAGGTCAAGCTTTAAAGTGGCTGCAACAAATTTCCTTTGAATGTGTCTGAACACAGCAATTTGGGGAAAAAAAACACTTCCAGCTGTGTCTACTCGATAATAAGAAGTGCCCGTTGAGGTGGCTGGGGCATCTATTTAGGACGCCCTCCACATGCCACCCTGCTATAGTGTTCCGGGCAACAGGGAGGAAACCCTGCAGCAAACGTCGGAAACGCTGGAGGGACTGTGCCTTACAGCTGGCCTGGGAAAGCCTCTGGGTCCTACCTGTCAAACTAGAACAGGTGGCCTGAGACTGGGAAGTCCTGGCACCTCTACTTAGACTGCTGCCCCTGCAATCCAGTCGTGGAGAAGCAAAAAAAAAAAAAGGATGAATTGCATTTGTTATTTTATTTAAACTTTTTCAGTGCCATGTTTGTAAGGGGAGAAATATTCCCCAAGGAGTAATGTCATTGCAATTGCAAATGTCATTGTTGTCAGTCAAGTCTTTAGCCTGTCAAGAACAGCATCCTTCTGACTTCACAATACAGCCTCATTAATACGAACGGAGTCTATACAACTGTCAACTTTCTTACAAGCAACTTTTTGCATTTCCTCAAGTCGGAAAGTGCTGTTCTGAGTATGGAGTTGTGAAGCCCGATCTTGCTTCTCTTTCCTCCATGGGACGTGTAAGCAGGTTAGCGATAGCTGCAGCGACCAGGTAAAGCATAACCATAGCAACATGTAACCCGGCAATGATTCAAACAAGTATTACGTTTCTGTCACAATCTACAAAACTGTGACGTGTATTGTTTACTTCCAATCAAAATCCTGTTGCCTCACAAGGGTTGATTGTCTGTTTACCACCCAATGGACTCCAATGTGTGAATGCACCATACCACCGGGAATCGGCAAAATCAGAGATTAACTGACAATGAGTAATTCTGTTGATTGGCTGGAATTGATTCTTAATTCATCACATGTTGAGGCTATTGAGACAAAATGTGTGCTACATGGCCAAACCCGGCAGTGGCCGTGTTGGTTCCTTCTCAATTATTTTGCTGTCCAAGGAAGACAACATGACGTCAGCTAGGGAAAGTTAAGCTCAGACTTGGACGATGGGAGCATTATTCTGTTAATATGACACTCGCATGGAAACAAGACTTGCAGACATTCAGAGAGAGATACTTCCTTCGCTTTAAAAATGAAATATAAAACAGACACAGATATAAAACAAACAACAATTTTTTAAAAAATTGTAAATTTGGTGGTAACAAAACGTGCCTTCCTGTACCGTGTGCGAACATAGTCTTAGGCTGCTGTCCAAATTAAACTATTCTTATCTTCAAAACGTGATATTTCGGGAACATTGTAAACCTACGACTCCCTGTACATCCCTGAAATATTTAAAATGGTGATTTTTGATTAATCTTATCCTTATCCAACACAAATTGCAACTGTAAGTCCGTAGCGATGTACAATGAAGTACTGTGACAAGACGTGTCAGTGGGACAGATGCCACGGTAGCATCCCCGCTGTACAAAATTCCAAATACAAAGCATAGGCTTAGCCAAATTGCACCTCTAGGCTGTGTGTTTGCTTGTGCATGTGTGTTGATTTTACGCTCGGGGAGAGACGAAGGCCACATCTGTGACTTTGTTTGCCGTGGCTGACTTTGCCGACTGAAGTCGCTCTGCCGCTTCTCCTAATTTTGTCCTTCCGTACTTCGCCGCACTCCCTTAGATTTGTCATTTGTTTTTCCGATTTGGCCCCTTGTCCTCTCTGTTGCGGTTATTTTCTCCTCAAACCCCTGCCCTCCCCGTCCCGTCGCAATTCATTACTCTCCTCCTTTCGGGTTCCCCCTCCCAAAGTAGTGTGTGTAGTACCCCTCCTCAATGCCTCCCCACCTCCATCTTTCCCTTCACTCAATGCCATGACTGGCCCAGTTAAACGTGGGGAGGGACGCAGCGGGCGGAGAGCCTGAGAGGTGAAGCGAGAAAGACAGACAAAAGAGTGGAGACAGTGTGAGAGTCAGCATCTGGGAAGAACAAACAAGTGCCACTGCCATCCCGCTAGGACACGCACACAAGCGCACAATGAATTGTCCGAACTTCACCTGGAACTTAAACAACATTTGACGGCCTCTGAAGTGGCGGCGGCGGGGGCGGAACGCCAAGTAGACAGCCCCTGCTCCCTCACGCTTACCGTTCCCGATGAGGGAACGCGGGGAATAACAATCCAGCCTCTGTGAAGAAGAAGCAGTAGACGGATGCTGCGCGCTCTCAGGATGGCGGAATACCGGCATATGGAGCGAGACTGAAGCAAGGAGTTAAAGAGGGGGGGTGGGGAGGGTGGCGAACGTGCAAGATTTTTTGCCTGTCAGAATCAGAGAGAGGGGGGAAGGCGGACGATGCATCTGTTCTTCCGAGAGAAATGGGAGGTGGAGGGGCTGCAGACGGTGGGCATCCTCCTGGTGGTGTGCAGCTCTCTCAAACTGATGCACTTTTTGGGGCTTATCGACCTTACCACGGCAGGTAAGATGAATGGTAAGCTAAACAATTGAGGGAGCGGTGCACGCCCACAAGCTACAATGATGACAAATAATGCTTGTAACAAAGTGTGACAAGGAACAAGTAAAAACGCAACTTTGATGGAATTTCATACCTCTCGAGCACTTCTTTGGGTGCAATTTTAAAGATGGGACGCTCAAAATGCATCTCAGTTCATCACCACTGCAAACCACAATCATAAACATGATGGTCAATGAAACCAATTAAGCCTTTCATGCACCCTGCAACCTGATAACATGATAAGCCGTCCACTGTAGTAACCGCTGTTGCTGAAAGGGTTAAATAGTAACTCAAGTATCTTCTGAAGCTCTTGAATATACCGCATCTCCGTTTTAAATCCTCATCCGATTTTATGGTGTTTGCACACTGCGATTGGCGGGCAACCAGTTCACGGTTCGCCTATTGCCCGAAGACAGCTGGGAAAGGCTCCAGCACGCCCGCGACCCTTGTGAGGAGAAGCTGATTAGAAAATGGATGGATGGTGTTTGCACAAAACTTCTCACCAGCGGTTTTCTCTCTACTAAACTGCGCCCAAGCGAGCCACTTTGCGGTTTGACGATCACGTTAATTTTGATTGACCATTTTTGAGCGCATATGCCATCAAATGTGATGATTGGATAAGTGTTGCGACACATGGTCATTTCATCATTAGACCAGAAAAAGAGAAATGAAAATATGAAGCCCTCTTTTCCGCTGTGACTGGGACAGCTTCCGCTTTCCTGGGAAGACTTTCTACAAGATATTGTAGTATGCACGTGGCAATTTTTGGTGTACCTGACCTACAGTGTGGCTAACTGTCTCTGTTATAGTTGATCCAAATGGTGGATTTTATTTTGTTTGTAAGTTGTTCTTTCACAACAAACACCTTCATGCACACCTTTGTGGATCTTGTTTTATGCACAAGCTTCCCACCAGGTTGGAATCATAAAATTCTCTGAAGTGATAAAAAAATAATGGTTATATGGCACCTCTATTTTGATTTACGTATATGCTTAAATGCGTTTTGTGTGCTCTCAAAAGTAAGTTAAGAGGACAGAAGCAATAAAAGATAGGGAAGGACATGTCACTAAATCTTTGCGGAGACTGGGGGGGAAATCATCCCTCCATCCACCCATCCATTGTGCAGCGCTTGTCCTCGTCAGGGTCGTGAGCGAGTTGGAGCCACACTGGACCGGTCACCAATCAATTGCATGGCACATGTAGACAAACAACCACTCACACTCAAATTTACACTCATCTAAGAAGGGGACATAGGCTACAAAGGAAAAAGAGAGATCGCACAAGTCCTTCTTTGGGAGTTAAGAGTACTTCCAGGTTTAAAAAAAAACTACTTGGGATTTAAGGTGCAGGGACTACCTGTGCTAGTGGCCAGCACTGGCCTGGAAATAGAGCGGCCGTTCGGGAAAATAAGTATATTTCCCAAAATTCCCATATGACCACCCCTGGTCAGCATATCGTGTCATCCTTCTCCATCGAAATCTATCTTCTGCATATTCCTCTCAAATACCAACTGCCCTCATTTCTTCCCTCATGACACCCATCAACCTTCTCTTTGGTCTCCCTCTCACTCTCTTTCCTGGAAGCTCCATACTCATCACCATCTACCGATGCACTCACTGTCTTCCTTTTGATTCCAAATCATCTAAGTTGTCCCTCTTTAATTTAACTTTCCCCCAAAACATCTAACCTTGCCTGTCCCTCTGATGAGCTCATTTTTAATCCTATCCAACCTGGTGACTCCTAAAGAAGATAATACTGTCATCTTAGATCGACCACAGTCACTGTCTGTTTTACCTCTTCTTTACAACAGTGTTCACTTGATTTTCTTGTCGCAGATTGGCAGTCTCAACTGTTGTCTTTTTTTTCCTCCCCTACATTTATGCAAAACATGGACACGTACAGCTGAACAATCTTGGTGTTGTGGTTTGTAGACGTGACAACGCTGCAGATATGAAGTGAAAGATTTAGTGGACTGTTGTTGTCACAATGGCCACAGCAGGAGTTGAGAACCAATTGAACCGTAACAACGGCAACCATGTCGCTGTCCACGCGAATAGATTCAACCAGGACAGCCCTGCCACAGAATGTTTTCAGGTGAAAGTGTACGCTTGTGTTAAGCTACCAGTAATTAACAACCACATAGAAGACTCTAATTCTCTTCCTGTAAAGGCCTGTTTGCTTTCATGGGTTTCGAAAATGTAACCTGGAAGCACATTAACATGAACTAGACTGGTGATTCCCAACTGGTGGGCTGGCAACCAAACTTGGTCACATACCCATTTTGGGTTGGTTGTGGACAGCTAGTAAATCAAATACTTGATTGTATCGTGATTTTTCTGGTACGATGCAGAGGTGTACTGGGTTCCCACACAAAACATTTTATGTAGGCAACAGGAAGTATAACTGTCTGGTGGTCAAGCCACTTGTTTTCTCCGTAAACAAACATAGTGGAGCTCAGTCTCCGGTTTGGCGGATGTTATGGCTGGCGATATGATTTTGGCAATAGGTTAACGGCGTTTTTATATGGTATTTAAAAATACAATTTACTTTTCGAGATTACTTTTGAAAACAAATCTTTGTTCATATTTCTGTAAAAATTGGTCACAACAGAAAAATGCAGAGGTAAGATTGAGAACTCGTGAATTGGACAATGCAGTGTGTGTAGAAATTGTGTGTGAAAGCTGAAAAGCTGAAGCTGTATTAAATTCAGTGGAATTAAATTAATTGTTCAAATAAAATGTGAGAGCCAGATTGGTTTGAACTGTGGAGGTAGCAACGGCCCGAACACAATTTAACTCAACAACTTTTGCTGTGATTGCAAATTTGAATTTTCACGACAAAACAAAACGTTTCTGGGTACAAAATATGATTCAGCCAGCTGCTGCCATTACACTATATCCAGTGTACATTGTTTTACAACAATACTTGACTAGATTTATAAATTGACATGGACCTGCAGCTAACAAGGAAAAAAAAAAGGGTGAATCGTCTTTGTTACAGTCAATGAATGGATCTAAGAGAACAACAGTCTCTCAAATATCCACACCCTCTCATTTAATGTTGCTAGTTTCCTCTTTGTATTATTGTAACACAGTTACAGTGGCAAGGGCAGTCTGCTTCTTCCTTCACAATTTTCCCATGTTGTTTGTGGCTCAATACAATATTTGGAGCTTCAATGATTTTTTTTCCTGACAAGAACACCAGGGGTAGCAGTTTTTCCCTTGTAGTGAGTTGATGTATGTGCAAATGTCGATTACCCGATGTGCAAAAAGAAATTGGAACTGGAATTAGTTTGTTTAGTTCAGTTTCGTTCGGTCATGTTGCTCAGTGCATTCAGAGCAACCTGTAATCACTGATGGTGTAGTAGTGTTTCATTTGCCTGGTTGACTGTGCAGGCAGCGTGGATTCAGTTCCCCCTCAGTGGTGTGAATGTGAGCATGAATGGTTGTCTGTCTGTTTCCGTAGGTGCCCTGTTATTTACTGGCAACCAATCGAGAGTGTGGTCAGTCTTTTTGTCCATTTGGCAGGGATAAACTCTAGCTCATCCATGACTGTGAACATGTTTAGCGGAATGCAAGATGGATGGATGGAAATAGACACCGTGTGAAGGCAGGACTTCAGCAATACTTGACTTTGCTGTGCTACTTTTATCACCAAGTGTGAGGCTGGTTTAAGAAGCGATACAGTCAATGTTTGGTCCCACTCATCCGGTCTTAATCTTCAGCAGTGCGCTGTATCAACACGCTGGCTGCATTCTCTTTGCCTTGAGAAACTCCTCTTATCTCTGGGGTTTATGAATTGAGAGGCTCCTTCAAAATGAACAGAGAAGAAATGTTTGCCAAGGAGCTATAAATAGAGCTGATGATTTTATTTTCTGAAGTGGAGTGAAGTTGTGATGGCCCGTCAGTGTGTACCAAGGGAAACTGTTAGACTAAATGCACAATCACCGCTGAGCGTAAGAAGCGTCATGAGGCTGATGAATGTTATCTTTCTTCTGGTTGTTTTAATAATGATAAGTTGGCGTGATGGCACAAAGCCAGAAGGAATGAGAGAGTAACAGACAGAGAATGTCCAAGAAGTTAACAAGTGTCGACTGCAAAGCAGAATTGGCCTCTATGGTTGCGGACACAAATAACGTAAACATTGCTAATTTTATATAGCCTGTAGGGGTGCACCTATTGAATATTTTGGTATGTGGATGTCCTGTCAAAAATTATTTTTGAATAATGATATATTGGGACCTTATAAAAATAGACAAATGTTGTCAAAAAACAACACAAAAGAAAATAACACATTTGACTTAATAACGAGCAACGTATTGGTTTTCATTTTTAGATATTCAATTTTGTTTTCTCTGAATTTTAACTGTACAAAGCAGCGAACTGTATTGTCTTTTGAAGAAACATCACTGATTACGGGACAAAATGACATCAGAACAATAATACAGATTTTGTAAACTAAAACAAGCTTGGCTATTCCCTTCCACTATATGATGCTCTACTGCAGGGGTGTCAAATTCATTTTTGTCGCGGGCCACATTGTAGTTTCGGTTTCCCCTGGATGGCCGTGAAACCATATAAACCACCTCCACATATTACATACACAGCGAGCAACAAATAAATGGCTAACTAGTTTTGACATCAGTAGTCAAGAATAATGGATTGTTTAAACATTGTAATTATTACATTATACAGTATATGAAAATTTGAAATTTTGTTTCAGACTATAGCAAGCATCATGGAAGTTGACCTGCTTGAATTGCTTACACGGGCCACATAAAATGATGTGACGGGCCAGATCTGGCCCCCGGGCCTTGACTTTGACACCTGTGCTGTCTGGACTGCTCACCAGCTAATTGCAGAGAAAAAGCACCAATAATGTCAAGCCCTTGTGTTTTGTTGCTTAAATGATACCATTGTTCCTTTCCCAGCTAGTCAAGTAGGCACAGATTTAGTGAAAAATCACTAACAGAGCCT